CCTATTAGCCGATTTATTTTTTTTTAAATAAAGAATATTTTATTATACTTATCATAGAGACAGTATTTATACCGGTCAAATAAAAAAAAATTGATTTACATCTCATTTAATTTACATATTTTACAATCCATTAAAAAAAAAAAACAAATAAATAAAAATGTGGATTTAAAAAAAATCCATGACATTTAAACTGTTATTTCTCAGGATCTCTCGTTCTAAATATATCATCGATTACTTCAAAATCGATTTTAAGTCTTATTTGTTTGTTTTGATATGGAGATCAACTGCTTATTTTGAAGTTTTTTGTGACCTCTTTGGCGAAATATAAATCTATTATTGTTTTTGTTTTTTTCATTCTAGCTAAAGTTGTCTCACAACTTTTTATGATCTCAAGGTCAGATTGAACTTGCTATAATCCAGATTGATCAACGCCTGAAAATTTTACGCTACAACTAAGAAAATTAACATTCAAAAAAAAATGAAAATTATGAAATAAATATTTACCGTTCAAAAAAAAAATTTCAAAACTTTCTTTTGTTATCATATAAGTACAGGCACATAGATCCATGGAACAAAATCATACGAATGGTTTTTAGACATATTAAAGTCATTTCAATTTTTAGACGTAAAAATTCACTAAGCACATTTTTTTATGGAACTGATTTAAGAACTTTTTTATTAATGTCTGCTTTATTTATATATATATATATATTATATATATATAATATATATATTATATATATATTATATATATATATATTATATAAAATAATAAATAAACAAACATTACACAAACCCTTTATGTGACACATCGAATATACTTATAAAAAGTGCAAAATGTTTTGATTTCTCAAGAGGAAAATTCTTTAAAGTTGTTGTTGATTTAAGGTTATGAAATGTCAATGACTTTTTGGACAGATAGAAGCTGAAAAGGGGCTGGTTTAGAGATCTCGTATAGTAAAATATTTTTTTAAATTCAAGTTAACAGTGTGTACCATTATTCACGTCATTCATGGCCTGATGTGCCCACTATATCAACTAATTTCTCATTCACTGATTGTTTAAAGCTAAATGACAGATGTAGTTATATAATTTAAGTTAAACATTGATAAATAGTTTTTTTTTTTCTTTTTATGTAGCTCTGTTTATTTCTACTTAAACCTAAATAATTGAATGCGATTAAAATTCCTGAGGTTATTTTCAATATCACAGGCCTAATAAAAACAAAAACAAACAACACATGACAACTACTATGTTTGCTAATAATTTATATTTAATATTTTTTCTAGTATTGATCAATATCCTTGTAAATTTAAATGTATAATTTTTATAAAGAAAATAAATTAATAAGGATAATCTGTAGAATTAATACTTTGAAAGTATATAAGTGTCTAACTTGTATCAAAATCTAATATATTCGTATTATTGGAATGATTTTTTGTATAATTATGCATATTGGTAATTATTATATTTTATTTACTTAAAAAATTGTTCGTTGATAAATTACGTACCTCGGTGTAGACCTCACTACGATGTACTCCTCTAACCGAAGCCGCAACACACAGACTAGAGTAATTCAACTTCCGATCACCCTCCCCACTTGTACGTTTCCCATCCCCTCCATGTTCCAGCTCCGTAAATTTGTTTATTTCGTTTGCGGTCTTAGCGTAATTTTGGATTTTATTATTTATTATTTTATTTTTAATCATTTTAATAAAATTTTCAAAAAGCTTCAGTTTATCGTGTAAAAAATTATACTTATGAATTCCCAATTATATATACTAGTGTTCGTCCAGTGGTCGAAATTCGACTATAGCCATTAAAAATTTGAGGAAAAGATATAATTAATTATAAAGTAAATAAATAAAGAGTAAATCACGATTCAAAAAACCTCATTTATTAATACAAACAAAATTTCAATTTCAATTAAAAATCGAGCTTAAGTCATTTAAAATTATTTAAAGTAATACAAACTATACTCATTCAAAATTATTTAAGTTTCATTTTAATTTATGTGTGTTATTATCACAATAAATTAATGATATGATTAAGCAAGTAAATAAAAAAATAATTAAATCAGCAATTTCAATTCAGTTTAAATCATAATTCATTTTTTTTCAGAACTTCTCTGTAAACAATGTTCTTTTTTAATGTTCTGTTATTGCCCATTGCATTGAAAATATAAATTTAAATATTTTAAATGAACGTGCTCTAATTGCTGCCACATATAATTGTCCATGCGAAATAACTGGACGTCACAATAATATACACATTTTTTCAAAACTTTGATCCTTCGATTTGATTATGGTCATAGCAAATGCAGCTATTAATAGGAACGTTGTTCTTTGAAAGTCGAATGTAAGTATAGGGTCAGAAAATGTTAAATTAATTCTTGGAATTAAAATTCTTTAATTTAAAGTAGCCCCCATCAATACTTCAGTCTCATTCCTGTTTCATTAACTAATGCTTGTGCAGTATTTAAGTTAACAATGAGTATAACTATAGAATATATTTTTTAATTTAATTTATTATGTATCATTCAGCTAACATTACATGATATCATGTAATAGACCTAATTACCTCAGAAAATGAAAAGTTTTCGATTCATCAAAAAACAAAATAAAAGAAATCGAATTTTGAAGGGAAAGAAAACGTACTAAATGTTAAAAATGATATATCTCTGCAACAAATAGTCCGATTTCGATGATTTTTTTTTATTTTGTAGGGAATTCAGGATGCTTTCGTTTTAAACAAACTACCATTTATATTTTTGTTTACATACTATTTAACATTTTGATTTATTGATAACACTAAAGCTCATCAATATCTATTAAACAAAAAAAAGGAAGAAAATCGGTTGAATATTAGAGGAGTAAAAGGGGCTGAACCGGTTTGTGTTTGCCTATTTATATAATGATTTGTTTATTATTTTCAATAATTAATCATTGTGATCGAACAAAAAATTCAAAAACTTAACTCCCTCTCGAAATTTTAGGTTTTACGTTTCATTCGAAAAACGAATGAATACTTTTTTGTCCGTCCGCCGTCAGCGCATTTTCTCCGAAACTACTGGACCTATTTTTTTTTTAATTTGGATTTCAAATTAGAGATCACTCGAGGATGATCTTCCTTCATCAACATTTCTATCCGCCTTTTCCTTTCAAGATGGCGACAGAAAAACCTGCGTTGCTATAGACTGTAGCACCTAAACGAATGTACCGATTTCAATAAAATTAAGGTAAAGTCTTCTTCTCGATACTCTTAAAATTATCTTTATAACATATTTCAACAAAAATAAGCTGGAAATAACCACCCCTACCTCAGGGTCGATGAAATAGAATAAATAACTTATCTGCCATAAGCCGAGATTCGAAACTGCAAACTAAAGCATAGGAAGCTCGGTGCCCTCCCACTGAACTACTCCACACCTCGATTTTTAATATAAACCCTAAAAAAAATTTAGAATAAATTTCTGATTACTTACTAATAGATAGATTGACGGGCATCTGTAATTTTTAAAATGTTGAGAATATCAAATTTTGTAACATAGCTTGAATTTAAAATGATCTTTATGATTTTTTTTTTTACTTTCCTACCTATACTAGGTAAGGAAAGTATTGCAATCGGGTCAAATTTCCGATATGCGGTTTTCGACGGATCTATACGTTTCAGAGTCCCTTGAGTCCGAAAAACACATTTTTAACCATTGGTCTGTCTGTCTGTGCCAAGATTTTCTCGGGAACTACTGAATCGTTTAGCCTGTTTTTTTGTTTTTGTTTTTTTAAAGGTAATGAAATTACTTTATAAAATTATGGTTATGAAATTACCCCACAAAACTATATAAAAATGGTTCATTTTTCAAGGTAATGAAATTACTTTATAAAATTATGGTTATGAAATTACCCCACAAAACTATATAAAAATGGTTCATTTTAAGCAACTATTGACGAAGTTACAGTTATTCAATTTCCAATGTAAGATTACGGGTTCATATTCTGGTGTTAGAAAGGGGTGAATAAGAGAAAAAAGATGACTAAGTGAAAAAAAGAAAATCTGTTGCCCGCATCACTCAAGCTTCACTATTACCATTACTTTTAACAGAAATTATTGTCTGACAATACTAAGCTATGGCAAAAACTTTTTGATCAGCAATATTAGAGAGTATTGAAATTTTTACACTGATCTACCTTAAGCTGGTTTACATTGCTTTAGTTTATCAAATAAATCGTACTTAAATCTATCTTTTCTTTGATCAATTTTCAGGAAAATAAAATTAGTTCAATTTTTTTTTTTCTTCTTGAACATATGTAAAGATATAAAAACTTTTCTAAAATAGGTAGGAAAGTCGTATGAGTAGACACACCAGATATTTTTTCTTCATTCAAATTGAACATTATTCAACAAAATTATCAAAAACATTTTGGGTTGAACCTAAAAATTAAAAATTAAATTTTTCCTCTTTATTAAAATGCAATACATCCTTCTTATGTTTAGTCTTAAAAATAATCTCATAACATTGATTTTCTTCTAATATTGCTTGACTTAATACCATTCAAATTCTGCCATGTCATTCTAAAGGAAGAATAGTGAAGTAACCATAAAAATTCTTATTATTAAAATATCTCTCCTCAAAAAATTTAATTTTTTTAAGTTTTTCATAGACATAAAATTTGTAAATTTTTAAATGTCTTCATTAAATATAGTATTCATCTTCATCTAATTGGTCGACTTCTCTGAAAATGTTTTAACTGTCTTCACTTTTCTTATTAGTCATTGTCTCATTAGACAATAGGAGGCGCCTTTCTAATTAATTTTCTCTAACAACAATAGCTCTAACTTGTTAATATCTCCAGATTTTGAAGCCTATTCGACTCTTGTTAACAGTGTTGACAAATTATATTGTATTAAAATGAGTCATTGACACAGTAAAACAACTACAATATAGTATTTTATTTTGTTGCCATAATAATATAAGTATTAAAACAATTTTTATTTTACAGATCCTTGCTTGTATGTCCTCCGATTTGCCAATAAACTTGAACTAGGCGAAAAGACTCACGAGGTGACAATGACAGCATTGAGACTCGTCCAGAGGATGAAGAGAGACAGTATGCATTATGGTCGAAGACCTTCTGGTATTTGTGGTGCAGGTAATGCTCGTTTAAATATGTTTATGCATTTTTATATATAATCTCATTAAAATTTATTTATTATTGTATCTTTTTTCAGTCCTAGCTATCATATTTTGATTTCTTAAAAAAAAAATTTTTAATTTCTGAACTTCAACCCTAAATACTCAAAACTTCAGGTTGCTGGGGCAAACTGTAATATTTTTAATCATTTATTTGTAAAAGATGATCTTGGGAAAGAGACTATAATAAGTATTAGTAGAAAAAAGCCTTTTCAGTCTCGATAAATAATTACTTTATTTCAAATTCATCCAAATTTTCCCCTCTTCAGGCATCTTCAGGGATAATCTGATTTTACATATGATTTCAATTTTCATCTGAAAAAAACATATACAAAAATCTTTCAGAGGATTTACTATTAGACATTAGCCCATTTATAAAACCATAACAACCTTAAAAATAATATTCACCAGTCACCTGAATAAGTTACTCGCTTTTAGCAGTGTACGCACTTGCACACCTAGTCAAAGTACACAACAGAATGAGACCAATACTTCAAGAAGAAGAGGCATTGCCAACAATAAAATATTTAAATACCACATGACTAAAGGCTCATTTACACGATGCCAGTTGGCTTGCCAGTCGAGGTCGCCAGTCACTCAATGCCAGCGACTGGTAACGTGTAAACGGTTCATGCCAGTCACTGGAGAGGCCAGCGAGGCACTGGCAAGAAAATTTTGATTGACTGGTGCACTGGCAAGCGCCTAGTTGGAACTAGATATGACTAACCAGCAAAACAAATCATTATTTTAATATCTTTTTTTTTAGTTTAATACAAATTTATACAAACTTATAGTCCGTGGCACAAACTATAATACAGACTATAATGTAAATAAATATATATATATATATATATATATATATATATATATATATATATATATATATATATATATATATATATATATACATATTTCAAATTTATATTATTTGAATGTGAATTTAAAAAATGTCATCCCATCTCAGCCCAGTTTAGAAGTTTTAATATTTTTATATAAATATCTAAGTGATGGTAAAATATATAATATTAGATTTTGGCTCAAGCTGTAGTAATATTGTGTTATTAAGTAGAAAGAAACCAAATGATTCTCTTTTTTTTTTAATTTTTATTTAATTTTATTTATTTTTTATTAAAACGAGATATCTGCTTGGTAAGAAAAACTGTAATTAAAGGTATAGAAGAAAACACCTTAATGACTTAATAATGTAGTATGATTTCATTTGATTCTAGTGCTTTCATCTTATTCATTATGCTTTAAGTATGCTATATATAATAGACTTTCACTAACTATACTTATTACTACGGTTAAGGTCCCCGGATTCCGATATTGGTCTAGACTGCCAAGTGGCCGGGATTGTTTCGAATTTTGTCTATCTTACGAAGCCTATAAAATTGTAGTTTTTAGAAATATTTGAAGGGGAGCCGGATAGATTTAAAGATGCTAACGTAAATAATCATTATATACGATATGAAGGTGTAGGACGCCTGGGACCGATACCGCTCGAGACTGATTAAATATGATTTCCGCACGGTATCATCCCCCGACATCCGATACATATTCCTGATGTGATACATATTCCTGGCAGAACAGTGCTCACGCATGGTGATTGAGATAATGTTTGGAACGTAAGAGGTCAATTCTTGGATTATCTTTAATATGAAAAAAGAAAAACCCATATCAATTAGAAAATTCTTATCTGTTCTCGCTGATGAACTCGCAACTCAGCGCCAAACATCGTTACCACGTCTGGGTTGTGTCCATTCTTTTATTAAGCCTTCAGATTAGAGAGGAAAACAGTGAGAGCAGAGAATGCTAATAAGAACTGAGAAAGATCCTAGGAAGTAATGAGGCAAATAACTAGTATCACAAGCAGTTAGCAACTTAATACTTCACTTTAATTTTTCCTTTTCTTAAAATAAATTCCAATGTAATAGTGAATAACCAAATACCTATACTTTTGTTGCATTTCCAGAATATGGTACTTATTTGGAAACTTCGTTTTTTTTTTATATTCCATTTTTATCTTTACATTTAAAAAACTATTACACGAATAATGTATAAATTATATCATAAAAACTATAATTATATGCAATAAATAAACTATTTCTCATTTTTATTTTAATATTTAAGATTTATGTCTCTAAAAATAACACTATTTTAATGAAATAATGATAAACGTCCTCGGACGTTGGAGTCCACTCACTCCTACGATTGCTGGCCATTAATGAGAACACAATCAACAGATAGAGACTCCGAATAGGGAATTTAGTTCACCTTTTCTTTTAAAAGACAGCGGTATACCGCGAAACTTATGTATGCCTCCTCCGGCGTCTGATGCCGTTCGGAACTTCATAAATAGTGTCGGTCGCCGATGACCGATATTGTCGGAAAACACATTTAAGAGATATCATTCTCTGCAGCTAACGTGTTATATTAAATACATAAGTAGAGTATGTTTATATGAGTTTAAAAATACTGAGGTTGCGGGGAATTTCGTTTCAAGTTAATCAATGGCATCATTTTTATTGATATAACACTAATTGACGTTGCAACAAGAACTAGAAAAAAAAATTAATAAAAAGTAAGAAACAATATTTAACATTTCTCTTACCACCAAACATACTTTACCATTTAAACTTGTAATTAAATTAAATTTCTTTTTTCTTTTCTTTTTTTTGGTGCGTTTAGCTCCAATCCAATTAGAATAGGTTGGTTGTACCTCTTAAACAGCCCTATACAAAACCCCCCTTTATTAGAAATAGCGAGGCAGGTAGTAAATAGTTCACGAGAGAGAGACTGGTCTGCCAGTCAACTGGCACATGCCAGTAGAACAAATATTTTTGTTTGACTGGCACACTGGCAAGCCCCTACCCTCGGCAAGGTATGATTAACCAGCAAAACAAATTGTCCAAAATACTTATTTAAATACCTTTTTTTTATGATTGATGAAAACCTATGCCTAACTATAAATCAGCTGAAGGAAATATTACCAAAATTTTAAAATAATATATCCTGTGCGAACGCCAACATTCGTAATATAAGCTTAGCAAATTGTGGATATCGGTAATAGATTACACAGCACTAAGGTGTTTTATTTTAGTTCTAAATCGCTTATAACTAATCAGTGTGAAGTTATTCATAACTATTTACACTTTTAAAGGATAAAGATTTGTTCTTATTTTGTATGGCACTTATCTGCCAAATCGAAACCAGAAAAGATAAAAAGCATCTTTAATATGACAGTGTCTATCTGTATGGGCGGAAAGATTAAGATTTTAGAGAATATTATATTAAGTAAATAAATCGTAGAAGATGATGGTGAATGACAAAGAACGCTTAAATGTATAGCTTAAAATGGAGGGTAATAACTTATGATAGTCGATTATTTATTTATTCCTCCCTTCCTTGCCTTTCGGCTACATGACATTTTCCATTGTAACAAATGTAATTCATTTATTATTTCATAAATGTAATTTATTTATTTTACACAAAATTTTTAAATTACTTCGATAAATTATTAATATTTTAAATACAGTCCTTCGTTTCAGATTACCATTTGGTCATTGATTAGATCGACTTTAAAGTCAATTAGAATTTTAACAGAACCGTTTCAAAATGTTTTTAACATTTGAATAAATACAATATTTTATATTGTATACAATATTTTACATTGTATTATTTAAGATAAAGTAAAAATTAATATTTTATTATTTTGCTTTTAATGCATCCATCTTCGACCTAATGACTTCAATTCAAATTCAATATCCAACAAAACATAAACAGACAAATTTTTAGCCACTAAATTTGTACTTTTCAAGGGCACTGAATGTTCTTATATATGAGTGAGATAAAATGGAAATTATACTTTATTATTCTGTGACTTTTATATTTCGTAATCAGATGGATTACGAAATATAACAGAATAATAGAAAAAACTAGAATATAATAGAAAAAACTAGGTCTTTAAAGAGGAGAGGTTTGAAAGAGGAAACTGATTGTGTGTGTCTAATATCAGCAGGGATGGAATCCCCGAGGGAGACGGCTTGAATTGCAAAGGATTTGTCAAACACAGCAGTTTGGTGAGGGGGAGGATAGAGGCCGGAGTATCAGATCTAGTGGGACGGGATTGGATGAAGTATTTAAATTGTAAGCTGTGAAAAAATAGGAGGCTCGATGAGTTCTAATGATTTGGTACAGAAAGGTAGCTAGGAATTACCTACGGTGATAGGATGGATAGAGCCACTTCAACACGGTGTAATACTGGCGCATCTCTTGAGAGCCCGAAAATAAAACGTAATTGGAAAGTCATTAGGCGTTTAAGTTTGGCTTCGCAATCTCCCGAGAGTCCACCGTACACCATACAGCCATAGTCGAAGTGGGGGAAAACAAGGGAGGTAACTAGGAGTTGACGGACTTATATGGAAGGAAGGAGATAACATAGGCGGTTGAACTGTTTTAGGGAGGAGATTGCGAAGAGAAATTTGGGAGATGTGTGGTTTCCAGGAGAGGGTTTAATCAAAAGTAACACCTAGTTTTTCAACGGTAGTATGGAATAAGATAGGGGAGTTGTTCAGGAGAAGATTGGGGAATACCTCTGGACAAGGGTGGAGATTCTGATGGGGGGTTTTAGGATTTACAACAAAAATCAGGACCATAATCGTTTGTATGGGACTTCTGAATGGAGTTGAGAAGATCATTAGGGATAATGTGGGGGAAAAAGTAGTGATCAGTATTAAAAGAGGAAAACATAGGAGCCGGACTGGACGTGATGTGGTTGCTAAATGGCAGGAAACAAAGTGGGCGTAGAGGTTATCAGCAGAAACAGAAATGGACTGGGACTGAGGTGTATTACCAATGGTCAGTTTTCTAAGAATAGCCCAAGTGGCATTGGTATTAGGGGAGTTCAATAAGGAATAATAGTATTAACTGGATTTGGTACGGCGTACTGCTGATTGAGTACTGTTTCGAAGCTGTTCGAAGAACAGAAAATCTTCAGGAACTCGAGTTCGTTTAAAACGTCGGTTTGCAGCATCTCTTTCTCTCATACACTCTCTCAAAGTAGAAGTCAACCAAGGAGCGGAAGGATTTTGTTTGTGATAATAGGAGCATGTCAGTCGAGGATGGAGTGAAGATGAGTGGTTAAGGTTTCTACCATGGTAACGATGAATTTTGAGAAGTAAATACGATCCCATTGAATATCGTCAAGATCGTTTGAAAATGTTTCGTGAGTGAGTGGATTTAGGTTTCGGAAGGATATCGTTCGAGGAGAAAAGGATGGGATATGGATATTGTAAGAAATCTGGATAAGACCGTGGTAAGATAGAAACGGGATCGAGTGCTGAAACGCAGGAAGGAGTTTGTCTAAGAAATCTAGGATAAACAGATCGAGCCAGGACTCCGAGAACTGGGTATATATGGTAGAGTTGTAGGATACTATAAGATAATGGCTATAGGCTGAGATAATGGAGGGCACTTGTTAGGTAAGAATAATCGATCGATTACATCAGTAAATTGGTTTTAAATTCGCCGGAGAGGATGACATTTGAGTAGGAAGGAATTAAGTTGTACAAAGAAATCTCAAATGATACATCAAAAACAATTCTAGTAGGGCGATATATGACAGCAAACAGAATGGCAGATGAAGTTGTGAGGATTTCGGCAAAGAGGTATTCAATGCGCAGAGAATCGGTTAAGGAAGAGCAACGAAGGATTGTGGATTTAAGGCTGACATGGACAAAGAGACCTACTCCACCATCCGTACGATCCACTCTGTCATGACGAAGGAGACTGAGCGTTGGAATGGCAGATTAAAAAGTCATAAAATTCATAACACTCGAATCGTTCTACATTAACGGGAATGTGTAAACTTTAGGCGCCAGTCAACTGGAATGCGACTGGCACCGTGTAAATGAGCTTTAACTGTAATGCGCCAGTCGACTGGAATGCCAGCGACTGGCGCCAGCGACTGGCACCGTGTAAATGAGCCTTTAAATTAAAACCAGAATATATTATTATTTTAACATAAATTATTCAAGTCTATCAATTATCGAACATGCACTGATACATATCCACACATACCTACACACACCATCACTTCCCCATGAAATTATTAATTACATTTAATTTTTGTCCACTTAAATTTCATTTGACCATTATAGTTCGATCCAAAAATCGAATGCAGTTATTTAGTTGTATTTCATGCGTGAATTATAGACTATTGTACACATTCAGAGAATTATCAATCTGATATTTATTTATTATCATTAAAATATTGTCTACAAAGTAGCTTCGGCTCAGATTTTAATTTTTTACAAACATATTTTATTAATATATTCATTACGATCGGTAGACCAGTCAACTGACAGAAAAGCCTATTATTGTACGTAAATATACCATTGTTATATATAATTTTCAAACCCTCCATGTAGATTTGTTCATTCAATATAGGTATATGGTTCCTAATAATATCCTATTCATCATTAATTATATTATAACCTAAGATGCCTGAAGAGGCGAAAATTTGGATAAATTTAAAATAAAGTAATTATTTATCGAGACTAAAAAGGTCTTTTTCTACTAATCATTTATTTGTTAAAGAAAAAATTGGAGATCTAACTTGTAATATTTAAAAGTGTATAAGTTTTCCATATCAAAACTTATATTTGAAAACTTATTTGTTGAATATATTTCTCAAAACCACATCCGCTAATATTATAATATATTTTTTTTTTTTCAGCTCTGTTAATGGCTTCTCGTTTGCACCAGTTCAATCGAACTGTTGGTGATATTATAAAAGTTGTTCAAGTACACGAATCTACGTTAAGAAAAAGGTTCATTTTTTTTTTTATATATATATGTTTTTTAATATTTTAAATTTCACTGTCAATTATTTATATTAAATATCAATATGTTTTAGACTAGTGGAATTCGGTGAAACGCCTTCTAGTTCTCTTACATTGCAAGAGTTTATGACTGTTGATTTAGAAGAAGAACAAGATCCTCCATCGTACAAAGCTGCTAGAGCAAAAGATAGGGAAAGATTAAAGGTAAATAAATATGTTTACAATTTTGCTGTTAAGAAACTGCATTGTTTTATTATTTAACATATTTTTTATTTTGTTTGTTTTATTATCCATCCATTAGAAGAAAACCTTCTATAACAAAAGATAATAAATGGTAATAGTCCTGCACAAATCTATTTAAGTTGTTTCTGTAATATATTGGTCATTTAATATTTTTCCTCTGGTTTAGCCTAAAAATATGTTTGAAAGCTGATCATTTGTATATGTTTGTCCTCATGAAAAAACATTTTATTTCAGATGCTGGAAGACAAAGAGAGCTTGAGAGAACTGAACAGAATGCAGTTGGAAATAGAAAAGCAAATTTTCGATAAGAAAAGCAAGAAACCATCTTTTGGAGATGTTGAAACTACCAGTATGAATTTTTTTTTAATTTAAAATTGTATTTGTTTTTGTATCATTTATTAGTATATTATGTACTAGTGGAATGCTTATGTAAAATAATGCAAACAAGCAATGATTTTTCTCTAGAACAATTCTTTTATAAAGTACAGTCTATAGATGGGGAACTTTTTTATCTAATGATTAAATAAAAAATTTAATCCGCTAATGTGGCCACAGTGAGGTTAAAATAGAATAGAATAGAAAAGTAAACTTTATAGTCTGTGGTACAGACCTCTTTTTATCGAATTATTAACATCCGCCTGAAACTTTGTAAATAGTTTTATCTCATCGTAATCTACGACTATTTTATTTACGAAAACTTTTAGAATTAGGGTGTTTTCAATCTGAAGGAGGCAAACTTTATCTGTTTAATTAGGTACTTAAAATTCGTAAATACCCATTTGCTTTCTACTTGGATCGTAAGATTATTTGATCACAAAATTGATAAAAAAGGTGGCCTACGAAAATATTGGGCCGTTTGTCCTATATGACCTTGTTATTTTGATATTTTATAGGTCACGCCAAACGGTTCAATATTTTTGAAGGTCATATTTTTTCTCGATTTTATTATCAAATTATCTTACAATCCATGTAAGAAGCAAATGTGTATTTACGAGTTTTTAGTACCTAATTAAATAGACAAAGTTTGCCCCCTCCAGATTGAAAATGCCCCAATTTCAAGAATTTTCGTAAATAAAATAGTTGCAGGTTACAATGAGATGAAACTATTTATAAAGTTTCAGGTGGATGTTAATAATTCGATAAAAAGGGGTCTGTACCACGGACTATTATTAACTTGACAAAGTAAATCCTCAGAATAACAATGATGAACAAATAAAAAAAAATAATACATATCTGGCCAAAAAACTAACTTAATATAAATTCTAACAATATATACAGTAATTTAAATAATAAATAATAATGTATTATAATAATGTAAAAAATTAAAAAAAAAATAAAAATAAAATCTTCTCAAGAATATTTATAGTTGTAATGTGATTAACGAAAACAAAAAATATATATTTTATGTTTATAGAAAGAAAAATCAAAACCTGGAGAAAATAAAAAATAACAAATGTAAATAAAGAAAAAGCATTTATTTTTTATGTTAAAAACATAAACAATAGTCCACCTTAATAAAAATTCTTATAATGAAGGCTACAATTTTTGTTTAGATTTTACAGTTGCTATTTTCATTCATAAGTAAATACTCACTCATTTACAAATATTCAACTTAATTATATTGATTTTCAAATTTTCTTAACCTGTATAATTAAATTCTAGTGCAAGATTAATGAATATCGTGCAAAAACAAATAGAGAGCCGCAGATAGCTTACGGCGGCCACAGTTTCCCCATCCATAGTTTGTTTCTGTTAGGGATTTATTATTTTTAATTCTAATTAAATTCATATATTTATTTGTTTTTCTCAAGATGATGAAGAAGGAGATTTTGAAACATTTGTTTCAAGTTCCACTATAGATGTGATTGAAGAATTAGAAGATGAGCATGAAATAGCATTTGGAGAAGATGTACCAGTCGGCTTAGGTATGTATTGATTATATATGAAAATAAATATTAAATTGAAATTTTAAAAGATTAAATATTAAATCATAAATTAGTTGTAACATCTCAAGAACTCTGCTTAGGCTTCATAGATTTCTCAAGAACTTACATGAGGAAGCATTACTTCCCCTCAATACCTTGATTCCTAATCTAGTTTTAATTGGAAACCCAGTACCTAACAATAATTACAACTCCTTCCGGTACTTATTTAATAGCGGGTAGCATCGGACTGCTATCTGCCAATGTTTATAACCTTAACACTGATAAGATCTTCTTATTCATATTTATTGTATTATATTCATATTATTATATCTTTGTATTCATATTTATTGATATTATTGAAGTTGTGAACAAAAACAAAACAAATGTAATAATAAAAAAATCCTTTTATTTTACAACATATATATATTAAAATAGACCAAAATATTGTTTGGTGTTGTATCCTTTCCAACAGTCGGAATAAGTGGTGCTTCCCTCTTGTACATTGTTTTTAATGGCTTCTAATAAAGTTGTTGCTTTTCTATCGTTTATTTTGACGATAAAACACTCGTCTGTTTCTCGGCAAACTCCGCCAAACATCCATTGCTCAAGTAGGACTCTTCCTACATGATTTTTTCTTTTCGAAGAAAGACTCTCGTCCACTTTGACAAGACTTTTCCTAGCCCTCCAATTTTTTTATTCGACCTGTATAACATGTCATGGGCACAAACTTCTCTTAAAAATTTGTTCCATGTTACGATAGTTGCGTTGGATAGTTTGAGCTGCTCTTTCCCCCACTGTATTGTTGTTAAATTATGGGAACACCCATAAATGAATTTTAGAGCCGTTAAAAAAGAAATCCTCGATCCTTCTAACCACGTTCCATTCCTTATAGAAACGGTTTTGTTACAACTACTAAAGCATCTCCATTTAATCTTCCCATCGAATTTCATTTGATGACCTTCATCACAATATTTGACCTTTGCAAATATCCCGGCATCTTGAAAATATTTTATAGCCTCTTCTTCTGAAGACGTCAATTCCCACAATGTGACAACATCCATAATTAAATAAGACTAATTCACAGCTTACACAAGGAACAAAAAATAAACAAGGGAATAACTTAGGTTAGATGAAATAAGGGAGGTTATGTGAAATGAGATTAAATAAGAAGGGAGGTTTTGACGCTACCCGCTATTAGGTAAGTACCCTCCTTCCATTCCAAATGATCTGCAGTAAAATGTTAATTACACAGCTGGATATTTTCGTTATGGATATTAGTGTTTAGAAAACACAGCGAAGTTCCTACTTTATTTTATTTAAATTGAAGCAAGCAGCTCTGTTGCTATCTCTTGGCAAGCAAGAGAAGCAGAGAGGGTCTGCACATGCCTTATCCTATTGAATTCATGTGAACTTGAGACTGGAGACACAGCTAGTTAGCAAGCAAATTAATATCTGTCCCTTTTTTTATGAGAAGAAAATGGTCTAGTAAACTCTAGCGGCCCAACAAGAAGGCTTGAAAACTTGGAAGAGAGAAAATGATGATGGAGACAGAAGTAATATCAGTTAATTTTTAGCCTCCAACCCACCTAATCCTCCTCAACTTTAATAGTTTACTAGTATTCGCATAGCATATAGTTATCAAATGCCAAATTAATAAGAAAAGAAAAATAATGCAACGTATCAAAAGATTAAGAAACCAAATATTACTTTATCGATATATATATATATATAATTGACAAAGGAAACAAAAATTAATTTAAATCATCATTTTTGTTTGGAACCAACATGTTTACAAATTTCAGTAAGCTGTATCTTTGCTAAAAATTATCCGATTTTGATGATTTTTTTTTCCTGCCAAATATATATATATATATATATATATATATATATATGCCACATGTATAGTTATTTTCAAATGAAATGGGCTATAATAGAACTTTCCTAATGAATATTAATCGAAAATAAGAAACAATAAATAATAAAATGAAAAAAAATCGGAAAAATTTCTAATAGATTTCGATGATTTTTTTTTTCATTTTGTAGGGAATTTAGTAATATTTTATACAATCATGGGCATAACAAAGGGAAAAGTGTGTAATTTTTCAGTTATTCGCAAATAAAGTTTGTTTTCTTTCATAACTTGTTTGCCTGATTTTTCGGGGTGATTGGACTATTTTGCCCGCCTGAAAGAGAAGGAAGCCTTTGAAATCGGTGGATCAATCTTGAGATTTGATGAAAAATTAACGATGATATGGCTTGCCGATCAAAAACACCATCGATAAATAATATAAACTCCTCCTCTCTCGATCATAGAGACCTCAAGTCGATGAAATGAGACATGTATTCAATGACAGTACTACAATTAATGTAAGGTTGTGTAGATGCGAACCCTATGTCTTGCGTTATCTCAAAAATAGTACGTTTTTGGACTTAAAACATCTTTTCCAAACTCTTAATCCACATCCCGATATCCTTAATTCAACTCACATCAATTGTATTGAAGCAGAACTGGATATTCCTCTCCAAATGTCTCTGCCACCCAAAGCATTTCATCCCATAGAAATATCCAACATCATTCAAAAATTACCTTCCCGTAAAGCTCCTGGACATGACCTAATTACATCCCAGATCCTAAAACTTCTTCCTCGAAAAGCCATCCTATTCCTTACTTACATATATAATGCTGTACTCCGTTCTACATATTTTCCTGATCTTTGGAAACGATCTATTGTTAAAATGATCCACAAACCCAAAAAACCACCAGAATACCCATCCTCTTACCGTCCTATCTCTCTTTTACCCATCATGGGCAAAATCCTAGAAAAACTCATCTTAAAACGCCTGTACCCTATCCTAAATTCTAAACACATAATCCCAGATCACAATTTGGTTTCCGAACTTCCCATTCCACTATACAGCAATGTCATCGTGTGGTAGACGTAGTCTCCTCTGCATTGGAGCGCGGAATGTACTGTACGGGAGTCTTTCTCGACGTTGAACAGGCGTTTGATAGAGTTTGGCACCCGGGACTGCTGTACAAACTCCGAATATTCCTACCACCTACATACTTCCTCATTATCCGTTCCTACCTTACTGATAGATACTTTAAAGTGAATCACAATAACGCCTATTCATCCCTTTTTTCCCAGTCTGCTGGTATTCCTCAAGGTAGTATCCTAGGTCCTATCCTCTATACAGTTTATACAGCTGACATCCCTACCTGTCCCAACACTGTCATCACCACATATGCCGATGACACATGTATCCTATCAGTAAACAATGACCCAGCAATTGCATCCCAAATGCTTCAATCACACATAAATCTAGAAGAATGGTGTCAAAACTGGAGAATTAAAATAAACTCCAATAAATCCCACCAAATTACCTTTACCCTTCGTCGTAAACCAACGACTTCCTGTCCTACAGTTTCCTTTAACAATACTCCACTTATCCCTGTTGAGCAAATCCGATACCTAGGACTCCACCTGGATAAACGACTAACTTGGAATCCTCATACTAGACTGAAACGACAAGAAACCGCTCGACGTTTCCGATTACTTCAGCACTTACTAGACAAACGCTCTAAACTTCCCATTAATTACAAAAGACTCATATACTTGACTATAATAAGACCTATTTGGACTTACGGAGTTGAGCTATGGGGCTCCACTAAACCATCGAATTCCTCTCGCATCCAATCCTTACAATCCAAAATCCTTCGTAAAATCCTCAATGCTCCTTACTTTGTCACTAATAAAATTATCCATAAAGATCTTAATGTTCCTTATGTTTCAGATCTGGCCCAATCCAGATACCTATCCTTCCATAATAAACTTCAGAATCATCCCAACCCTCTGGTTTCTAACCTTGCTTCCTCTTCAATTCCTGATAACCCTCCGAGGCGTCTGAAAAGAAGATGGCCCCGTGATCTCCTAATGTAGTCATATCATTAGAGTGCTACCATTGGGTAGTTACTCAGCAAGTGTATTCATGTCATTATATCAATTATGTCCAAATTTACTTGATGTATTTATGTAATACAGTTGTAAATGTCATAAAGAAATAAAAAAAAAAGAAACGCAGAATTCGATAGTTCCAGAGGAACTATCCGGGTCTTGCTGTACTCATCAAAATCTTCAAGATCCAATTTGTTTCGTATCGATTTACAGACCTACTGCCGTTCCAGTATTGAAGCCTAGCAAAATGTTTGTATCGACTTTATTTATTTTAGAAAGAAAAACAAAAGTGGAGAATACAATTCACTAACTCCCCGGAAATTCTGAATCCAACGGTACCCCATTCATGGTATTTGAGTATGACTGGAGCTTATATTTGGTACAAAACCGATTTCGAGCCTTACTGTAATAATATATGTGGAGATTATATTCTATGCAACATTTATTAACACATTAATCCACATTGTAATAGATTCGATCTCGATAACTCCAACGTTATAATAGTTATCAAAATATAGCAATCAATTTAACCCTATATTTTACTTATAGTCAATCAAATTCTTTAGTCTTATAGTCCGTAGCAATTAAATAAGAACCATTTCTAAAACAGAAATATTATGTCAATATCCCGGACAGTAATAGAAGGGATTGCCATAATAAATTAAACAGAGAGCATTAATCTAAAACGACTATACAGACGACAGAAATACCTTTAGATAAATACATCAACCTACCAATAGCAATCAATTGACTCTTAATTTTATTTTAAACATAAACTTTAGACAATCTTGTATTTATGCAATATTTACATTAAAACTTACAGATATAAAGCGGTTAAGCTTGATAATAATAGATCATTTTTGTTTTCTCTTTTGTGCATAAGCTTTTAGTGGGACAGTACTCCAGATATGGAACAAAAATGTATGTGTTAGAATATATTTTTCTTGTTCTACAGGGCAGGGGTGCCCATCCCCCCCAAGATCGATGGTGGAAGAACCTCCTCCCTTCCTCGCAAGATATTTTATTGCTTACATTAACAGAGCAAGCTAAGGTAGAATGAGAAAAATCATAGATCATGTACAATTAAACTTGCTGCAGTATGTGCCAAGTTTTTCCCCTTGTCGCTTAGTTCGAAAATTTATAACTCCATTGAAATTTGTCTCCCCTCAAAAATTTAAAAACCCTTCAAAATATGCTCCCTCAAAAATTTTGATGGTGCAACTTTCCATGAAACCCCCTTCTGGGCACCCCTGCTACAGGGAGAGGGTGTTACGACATATTTACATTTCCTTAAATTTTATTATTTTATAATTTTCTTTGAAATATGTTTTCTCGTTCTTATTATTTGGCTGAAAAATGATTTCTCGTATATGTATATGAACTAAAGTAATCTTCCTTTGAAAATTGATAACCATACTATATTTATTACAGTACAAGATTATGCTAAAACATTGTACATTGTACTGCCATGACAAAAAACATAAAAATTTGAACATTTTTCATACAAATTGTGCTTTAAATTTATTTATTTTTTATAATCCTTTCAAGTCAAAATCATTAAATCCTCAATGGTCATTTTGTCACACATAAAATCATATATTATGACCTTAATGTTCCATAGCCATCCGAATCTAATAGTTTCTAACCTTCTTTTCTCTTTGATTCTTGATAATCCTCAAAGCGCCTGCAATGATAGCCTTAGGACCTTATATTAATGAAGTATTTTTGGAGTACTACTAATGGATAGTTAATCTATAAGTCTGTTTCATGTCATTGTAACATAATTCACTTTCACTTGTTTTATTTTATGTTTTAGTTTTAATTCAGTATTAAATTCCAATATAAAAATTTTTAAAACAATTTTTTCTCTCTAGGACCTAGTAGCGCTGTGATGGGCCTTGAAGAAGGTGATGGTAAAAGGGATGATAAAGATTTTACTTTCGAAGGAAATGGTGAGCTAGATCTGGAAGGCATTGACGACAAGGAACTTGATATGTACATTATGACAGATGTCGAAACTGAAAGGAAAGATAAAATCTGGACTGAAAGGAATGCTGATTATCTTCAAAAACAGAAAGGTAATTCTTACAGGATGTATTCCAAAAGGTAATTGAAAGCAATTTGGAGAGTGGATTAGTTCAGTGAGTAACAAACTGTGCTCCTTTATCTAGATCCTGGGTTCGAGTCCGGTTGTGGCAGATAATTATTTATTCTGTTACACCAGCCATTGGTTGACCTTATGATTGGGATACTTTCGTGGGGCACATCCAGCCTCTATATAAAGAGTACTCTTAATTAATGAAGGAGAAAATACTTTTTTTCCTCCCCTTTTCAGTTACCCTGGGTTTCTTTCTAGGCTAGGGGAAAAGGCAAGGAAATAATGCCAAAATTGAAAGTCTCGTAGCACCAGGAATCGAACTTGTAATCTTCAATTTATCAGGTTGCTGGACAACTCATGTTTTATACATGTATTACCCTGTTGGCCACTCCGTCCCCTCAAGATAAAATACCTGTAGGTTATGCGTTATGTTAGTCATATCACTTCCTTGCATGACCGTTGATCAAGAATCAGTATTTATTCAATACAGATGTTGTTATCTTTAATGATTCAGAAAACCTTCAATTTATGTCTTGAATCTATTTTAGAAAAAGAAGAAAAATTAAGAAAAGAAATGGAGGAAGGTAAACCACCAGAAAAAAAGAGGAAGAAGTCCAATTCGAGAAAGAAATCTTCTACTCCGGCCAATTCCGCAGGTTAATAAATAAAAATTTTATTAAGATTAAATTTTTTTCATAATTTATATCAAAAGTCATTGTTTAAAACTTACCAGTATAAACACGTTTTATTTTAGGAGAAGCTATAGAAAAAATGTTGCAAGAGAAGAAAATTTCTACGAAAATCAATTACGATGTATTGAAGAGTTTGAACTTCAATCTAAAGGAAACGGCAACTGGAGAAATGAGCGCTATTGGGCTGTTAGTATTTATAAATTAGTTTTAACTTACCAATATTCATTTTTTTTTAAATTTAATTTTATATATTTATAGAAAAGCTGAAATAGTACCAAAAGAAGAAGTTCTGAGCGGTATCGAAAAGCCTCATCACAGTATGATTAAAGATGAAAAGCCTATACCCAAAATGATGACTGGAAATCTTAGAAATAAGCAAATGACCTCAAAAGAACCCACTATTGAATTGGATACCGATAACAATCGTAAGTTGTTTATAGTATTATTATATTTTATTGTGATTAATAGTCGTTTTCTATTAGTTTTAATATATAGAAGCCCGAACAACTAGGATTGAAGGATTGGCTACAGTATAATCATGATAGTCTGACATTGTTTAATCTGATACTTTCCATGATTTGGCCATCTCGAGACTTATAGAGAACATTTTGATTGGTTATTCTGTGGAATTGGAAGGGAGAGCTTGTTTACCTGTCTCAATGTATTTAAAAATCGGACCTGCATACTGTAAGCAAGAGAAAAAATCTGGTGCGGTGCACGCATCACACAACTTTCACTTACCATCCTCTTCTTAGGAGAAATAAGTATTTTCAGTATTGCTTCTACTCCCTCAAGTCAGGCTTCTTGGACAAAAAGGAAGTCTCAAAGACCACTAAGAAGATTGTCTTTAAGAATACTTTCTTCCCTATATTGACATATGCAAGCGAGTCTTGGACCCTCACTGCCAAGCACAAAATCCAAATCCAAGCTATGAAAATGCACTATTTAAGGAAAATAGATGGAAAACAAGAAGAGATCGCGTTAGGAATGTGACCATTCGAGGTAATCTGGACCTCAGGTCTGCAGAGGAGAGAATCCAAGAAAACCAACTTAGGTGGTTTGGACATATCTCGCGAATGGCTGAAAACAGAATTGCCAGGGCTACCTACGAGGTCAAAGTGGAGGGAAGGAGACAACAAGGAAGACCAAGAAAAAGATGGCAAGAAGGAGTTAAAGAAACCTTTGACAGGAGAGGAATGGACTGGAGTAGGAGAAGACAGCTGGCACAGGATAGAGATTCGTGGATCAGGCTCTATAAGAAGGAACCTCACACTGCTCAGCGGTAAAAGAGGACTGGATTAAGTAAGTAAGTAAGTATTTTCAGACAAAGGAGAAGTGAAAGTAAAAATTATAGACGCTATAATTATTTATATTTCATTGTGTATTTTTTTTTCATATAAGTTCCCTTTATTATGCAAATTATAATATTTATATCTGTGTAATCTATGCAATTAAATATTAAATAATAGCAACAATAGTATTTATGAAAACCGCATATTTATATTTATATAATGTTATCGGAGTCCATATTATATTAAGCTCATGTTACATATGGAAGCCTGTTATAATCTTTCGGACGAGCTCGGGTGGATCAATTACAACTATTCTCTGTTACGATTTTTTATATCTCCTTTAGTTAATTATCAAATTCTTTCGTATTTTATATTTAACTATCTTATATATTAGAGATTAATGTGAAATATTCAATTGTTTCAAATGAGGAAGCTAATATTGAAAATTAGCCATTTATGCCCTGTTAGAGAACATCAATCAGAATAAAAACTACATTTTATTTAAAACTGCTTAATTTTACACTGATATAATGAATTTAATCAAAATCGTTAGAGCCTTTTCAGAAAATTGTAAAACTGTGTTTAGCGCATAAAGTGCCACTTCCGGTCAGTCGATTTTGACGGAAAAGTTACTGTAACATCCCTGCCATATAAAAACCTATTATTATTGAAAATATGCAATTTCACTTAAGTACGACTTTTCGTTTTTGAGCTAGTCTATTAACACACACACAGACCATTTTGCAGGACTTGATTATTTGGACTCAGAGAACATCAAAAAGTGTATTTCCGTTGAAAACTGAGATTCAATAATTTTCATGATCGCAATACTTTCCTTTACTATATATTTCATGTATAGGTAAGTGAAAGTAAAAATAGTTTTAAGAACAAAATGATAACTAGTTTTGTTGAACACATGGATTAAAAAATCACAGAAACTAAAAATCAGATCTGCATACTGTACACAAGAGAAATGTTCATCTTCTTTCTTATGAGCTATAAATAAAAAATGTATTTTAACATGACGCTAACTTAGAGAGTCGGAAAGAGAAAAAGTTAGCGCCAAAAAAACAAATAACGACTATTTTGAACATTTGGACTTAAATATCTCAAAATTTGAATACCCTGGAGATATTTTCAGATACCAATTTGTGGAAGTCAATATAGATATTTTTTTTAATTAGCCATAAGAATATTAAATTATGTGATACTATTTCATTTTCTGTTCATGCACTTGATATAGTTTTGATAAATTACTGACTCCCATTACAGAAGTTATATTAAAAAAAGATGGAATTTTTGTTAGATATTTTGCAAATAGATTTGAATCAAAAGTATTCATCGCATATTTTAGTTATCATAAACCTATTGTATAATTTTTAGATTATGATTCAAATGTCGATCAGCCAAAGTAGAGTTTACTAGAGTAATTTATACACAATTATAATCTTATATATTATTTGTAAAAGATGTTTTGTTTTTTGGTACTCCATAACTTTGTCAATTCTTCATCAAATCCAATGATTGAACCACTCATTTGAAGATATTCTTCTCCTTCATGTGCGAAAAATAGTCCTGTCCTTCCAAAATTTCTGGAAAAAAAGTTATGAAGGAAAAGAAACTTTATTTGTGAATAACTCAAAACGTGAGCATTTGTTTCCAGATTGTACCCATGATAGTTAGAAAGATTACTAAATTACCTACAAAACAAAAAGAAAAACGTAAAAATCGTACGATTATTAACAAAGATACAGTTCATTAGTTTTGATATACTTAATAATGTCTTCCTTTTTAAAGATATTGCATTTAGAAGTAGAATAGTATACTACATTTTTTTTCCTGGCTGATATATTAACTTTATTATTCCTTCAATGCATTTGGATCATCATTTATATTGTGAACTTTCTCCTTAACAACTCCTGAGCTTAATATTGAAAAGTATTATTTAATATAAAATATTAATAACAATCATGGTTGTTTAATAAACAAAGTATAAGTTTATTATTTTCAATTTTTTTCAGCACTTTCTCATTTTCTTTTTAAATATATTATTTTTCCAGGAGCTGATGATGTTCTGGATGATGACGATGAAGTGGAAGTTGAAGAGACTGGTGTTGTTTCTCTCGCAGATATGCTCAACCAGCACAGAGGGGAAGACGACGACCCATATTATGGATACGACGAAGAAGATTACTAATTATTATTTATCTCATTACGAGGAACTATTTATTTTTTTAATTGAAACTAGGGCCATTGTAAATATATTTTCTTAAGGTTTTTAACCAAGTTTTTGTTTTGGTTGTGGAAACTAGTTTTTGTTATGTTTTTTCTCTATATGGAAATCCTAGTCAGAATATATTTTTTTTTTTTTTGTTTTATTTTAGAAGCATGGTTGAGTTTGATTTTTTATTTATTTTTCTAATTAATCTAAGAGCATATTATGAACAATTTAATTTTATTTTAAGAATTTATTTCTAACAATGAACTTTTATGTATAGTTAATAAATATATATACAAATAAAAAAATATTTTTTTAAGTTTTATGAGATAAACTTTTGTAAATATATAATATATTTCTTAATGAATTTATGATCAGTATTGAAATCTTTTTGTTATAAAATGATTATTAGCATTAAATAATGATTTAGTGAACATTAGTCTCTGTAAATACAAATATAATAATCTACGACAAACTAAAAATTGTCGTGATTGGTAACATCATAACGTCGTTGATTGTGATCCTGATCACATCAAATCTCTGTTAAACCATTTGTTAAGAAATATTACTTTCTTATTAAATATTGAAACCAAGACTCTTCAAGATTTTTTTAATTTACTATTTTTTTTACCTGTAAAAAAGTGTAGTGTAATCTATGTATCACTTAATATTTAATGATGTTAAGTATAAAATTAATTTTCGTATTATTTTTTTAAAAAGTTAAAAAGAATCATAAAAAATATGTTTTAATTTATTTTAAAATTAAATAGTATTTCTAAATTATTTTATAAAAAGAAAAGTTAATTATAGTTTTAGAAATGATTTTTTTTTTTTTTTATTGCCTTTTCACTAGCAAATCAAAGTTAATAGTGAGAACACACTGAAACTTCCCAATTTCACACTGTGAAAGGTCGCTGTTGTAAACGTGTCTGTTTCATAGAATCTCAGGATGATTTACCTTACTAAAGCTGCTTCTCAACTTGGTCCCTCTGATTAAGATTAATCTAAAATGTCGAAATTCCCATTTTGTAATTTTCTTAAAATTGTTTCTCTTTTCCTATAATGGTCTATTCCATAGACTTTTTCAATTTCTTTTATAATATGAAACTTCTGTTTCACCATAAAATATTTCATGTAAGTTTACATGTCAGTCTCATTATCAAATATTAATTGGAATATAGTGCTGGTTCAAAATATAACTAATTGTTTAGTAACTATTGAAATATTATTGGTAAAAAAATCCCTATCCTAAGATTTAGTGTCTTTTTTTTTTATTATTTACTATATTTTATACTACGACTTTATATGCTATATACTTACTAATCAATGAAAAACTTTTTGTTTAAACTTGGATATTAACGAGGAAGTGAGAATCAGAGTGTGGGTCTATCCCCAAAATATTTTTGAAAATTGATTTTGAAGTGTTAAAGTATGTCATGCCATCTGTTGGCTGTAGGAAGAGTTTATTAATTTTGAAAACATTCAACAGATAGAGCCAATTTTGGAAACAGCCCTTATCTACTATGGTACTGCCTACTTAATCACCATATGATTGTTATTCTAATAGCTAAAGAACAGATTTTTTTTATTAGGAGATAAAAAAAAATTAAATAAAATATGAAGAGTTTTTCTCAAAATCATAGAGGTTGATCCAAATCTAATTCTCAATGCCTTAATTGTGAGCTGCCCTTATATTATTTAATGTAACAATTATACATATATATTTAATAATAAGATTTATTCATAAGACTGAGATGGATTACGAGCTTAATCAAAGTTATGCTATTGGTTATTTAAGTTATATATATTCTTTTTTTGTTTGCTTCTTACTGAGAAATATATCGACATCTTGTATGTAGTTACAAAAAAAAAAAAATAAGTAAATTTCAATTTATATGATTTTTTGTTATTATGATGTCTAGTGTATTAAATAATACATATTCTTGTTATACTTTTAATAAGTAAAAAAAAAAAAATGCATGAAATAAGTGATGGTAATGCTTTGTATATATAGTTGTAGTTCCAGAAAGAAATGATGAAATTATGAATATAGTGCTTAAATTCATTTATTTAGATGAGTAGAAATAGAAATATTCATAGCTAACTTAATCTAAATTAACTTTGTGTTTTATGTTGAATTTAGGAAAAAGAATATTAAAAACAATATATATAATTTAAGTTAACACTATAAATTATTATTTTCTTACTTGTATGCATTTATGTTCAAATAAAAAGATTTGTGATGAAATGAATTCATTAGTAAAGTTTATAACTATAATTAGCAATTAATCATATACTTCCCTTCCTCCTTCATCGACTTTCACAAATGTGCACAATGTTATGATTTCACTGAGAGAAAATTCGTCAAATTACTTAGCGATTTCATTTTATAAAATGTCCATGACTTTTTGTGGTTAGTGTTTTAATCATTTAATTTTAGTTATTTCAATTATTTATATTTCTCCTATCAATGTTGCAGAATTAAAATTTAGATTGTAATTAAAAAACACAAACATTTTTTTTTGTTATGTTGACTAATCATCAACTAATGTATACACCAACCAATTGAATTTAAATCTACAATTCTCAAACGATATGCATCATTTAAAATAAAATTACATCAATAAAAATTAAAGAGGAAATTTCAGTAAATTAAGTTTTATTTAGTTTTAATAAATGGCAGTAGACAAGGACGTTGTGCTGAAATAGATATTGAATTCCTTGAGTATTTATTCTGTTCTTATTATTATTTTTAATTTTACAGAGAAGAGGACTCTCTTATTTTAAAATAAAATGTTTTAACAAAATTCACTATTACCAAGAACTCCATTCAATAACCTGATGAAAAATATTTATTTCTCCAATTTCTTTCAACTTATCAGTTCAATATGCTAAGCTAATCATTATTTATTGTTTTTATTAAGGCATTAAATTTTTTATTAAAATAAATATTTAATCTGTCATAGTATTTGCTATATGGAAAATGTATTATATAATAAGCAAATCTGTGTAAGCAATGTAAATCCTTTAACTTCCGAGAAAGGATTAAGTTAAAAAGTCTCTCGGCCATCATCTAAAAAGTCGGGGTGGAATGTACTGGTTCGTTGTGGGATTAAGTGTTTGGCCTAATGGATTCATGTAGTAAGTCTCTGGTGGAATATTTAAAAATTTGTATTTTTTAAATTAATTTCAACTGTTAGTAAATTGATTTTTCCATCAGCTAACGCTAAAAGCTTTTGCTGTCACATAAAATTTGAAGTGTATCAAAAATTATGAAAAAAAAATCAACTTGATCATTCCACAGTACCACATTACTCTGAGAATATTAAGGTTCTGCGGGAGATGAGAATAAAATATGTAAGAATTTGGTATTTTATCATTCATTGAGATTATATGTGCCTTTTTAATGATACATAACAACACTATAGACTAGTCATCCATGAATAACAAAATATAATTTTATTAGAATTAAAAAAAAAAAAAAAAAGGAAACAAATTAGACATTAGTAGATGAATAACACACATAGAAATAAATTTAAAATACTCTTCACTCATTAAATTTTAAATCACAGTTACATAATAATTCTAATTAAATTCAAGAAAGCATTACTTAATTTTTAATACAAAATTATTGTTCTTATACACAACAACATGTTTTCTTGAAATTGCATAAGCTTCATATATAGAGATAAATAATAGCATTTCATTAAATCTACATTACAATTTTCTTCTATCAAGTCTATAATTGGATTTTTTAAGCTTTGTAATACTACTTGTTATAAATCCTTCACCTTAATAAATATTTAAAAAAATAAAACAAAACAAATAAACATAATGACAAGCAACAAAACTAGTTAATTGTGAATCACATATTTTCAATTGTAAGAGTCAGTTCCAAAAGATACTAAACCCAAAATATTGAGTACGAAAAAAATTATTTTTGTAATTATAATTAAGACTGATATTGTTGTTTCTAATAGTTGTTGTTTTGAAAAACAATAACTATTGTCTTAGAAACGCAAGTTTAATATCTTTTGAAACAAACATTCTCAATTGTAACAATCAGAGATGGGCAAAATAAAAAAAACAAACAACTTGAATTATGTTTTTGTCTTACTATTTTTAAAATGATAAATTAAATATTTTTAATGAAAGAAATTATTTTTATGATTTTTAAATGTAATTTTGTTTGATATATAGAAATTTTATTTCTTATAAATATAATATTCTTTCGAATAAAAATTTAAAGTTTAAAAAAAAATGATACATATTTTACTCTAATTTATAGTTATTATTGGAGAGCGGAATTTCATGCAGTGAAAATCCGATAAACGTGCAGTAAAAGAATTCAAAATGTGTAAAATAGTGTAGTAAAAACTCAAAATATTAAAAATTGTGTAATTAGCACCTAAAAATATGCAAAAATCATCTATTTTGTTTAATTTATTATGTTAATTAGAGACCAGATTTCTATGTTATTGCACATTTTGTACGGTTTGATCAGAATTAATGTATTAATATAATCAATTAAACAAAGTGATGATGTTTGCATGTTTTTAGGTATAATTGCACAATTTTAATTTTTTGGGGGTTTTTACTACACGATTTTATACATTTTGAGTTTTTTACTGCATAAAAATCTGGCTTCTAGTTATTATTTATAAAAGAAAAAGAAAAAACTAGTCTGTCTTTTTTCATCAGAGAGAGTTGTCGGAGGGAGAAAGCATTGGTACAATAGTGTGTAAGTTGTAAAATGAAAAAAAAAAAAAAATTAATTTGAAATAGTTACATGAAGTATTTTCTATTCAGTGCAAATGTTTAATTAAAAGATATCAGTATTGGTTATTTATGAAAATTTGGAAGAAAACATTTAATGTCTAAAATTCTAAGAATTTGATAACAAAAATATTGTATAGGTTTTTAAAACTGAGTTTATTAAAGAATAGTGTTTACACTTGGCCCAACGTTTTTATTATAACAACTTGGTTCTAATTATTTCAAATTCATGAGAAATAAATTAACTGCTTTAGAAAGATAATGAACAATATCTTAAACAGAGCTGAAATTACTGATGAGCATCTGAAATCCATCAGATTGTTCCTAAACTCATTGATATAACAATGGACAAGAAACTAAACTCAGGTTTGATGGGAAATCCATCAATGGATGAGTAGCTGAGTTCAGTAACTAGCCCAATCAATTAGTTATACAAATAACTATAGCTAAAAAATTTAATGAAGAACCTTTTAGTGGTATTTTGTTTAAAGGTAAAAAATATAATCCCCTCTAATTATCCAACAACTGATACCTTAATTATTACTTATTTTTAATGTTTATTGTTTGCATTGCGATATCGTTGGATACTTATTAAGTTTTATCTGTTTCCAAATTTAGGCCACACGTATAAAAATAGAAATAACTAATTGCTTATATTTTTTTATATGTACTTTGATATGTTTTAAATCCGTCCAATAATTGTTTGGTTTGATAACAATAATCTTTTTCCACTTGCTATAGAGAAAAATGAGGCGAGTAAAGAAATAAAGCAAATGAAAAAGCAGGCAATAGATGCTTCTTCGTATTAAACAAAGCACTGAAGTTCAGAAGCTTAAATAACAAAGCTAATGTTCTGATATACAGGCGAGTTATAAGACCAGTAATGACCAATAGTTGTGAAATCTGGGTAATTACCAAAGAAACCGAAAGATTATTGAATATATGGGAACGAAGAACATTGATATATGTAGCAGTAACACAACATGTCATGATTTTACTAAAGAGTGTCAATTAAGATGGGCAGGACATGTGGAAAGGATGGTGAAGGGTAGACTCCTTAAAATCCTTTTGGAAGAAAAGACAGGACATCAACAAATAGGGTGACCATACAACAGGTGAAAGGAACGTCGAGAATATCACTTTTAATTATTGCAAAAAATTACTAAGTGCATTTTTGATAGAGCTGAACTTTTAAGAATGTTTTTGTGAATTTAAACTTATTATTTTTATATAAAAAAAAAAGATGCTGAAAGTACAAAAATGACACGAAACATTTTATAAATCAAATATAGCTACAAAAAGTATACAATTTTTTTATTTCACAAAGAGAAAATTCATCAAATTTAAGAATGCAAAATGTCACTCAATGACTTTATGCAATACACCGATGAAATACTCAATGTTTTTGGAGTGAAAAGATAGAGAAAAAAAGTCCTGGACAATGAAAAAACATAGTTAAATTATTGCAAAGGAGAGGCAAGTTTTTGGAAGGCAGTAGTACCATGGAACAAGTGAGTATATTTTAAAACAATTTTTGTCCCTACTGTAATAAGGAAATAAACTACACAAGATGTTGAATTCTAAATACAAAGTATCACTTTAGCATTCGGACAAAGTTTTTAGTGATTTAAGGTTATGAAATTTCAAATAATTTACTTTATACAATAAACCGATATGCATTGCGTACAAATCTATATTTTAATTTAAACTGAATTAATTAAAAACGTATGGCTACTGTTAGTGCAAAAGGTTGTATCTGAAAATTATGTTTTTCAAAACATAAGACCGAATTTTTCTTTAATATTCATTCATATTATTTCCTATTTTATTTCCCTCTCCTATTTCTCTATTTAACAGACTACTTATAGTAGTTGCAGACTAAAAAATTTCATCATTAGCGCAACATGTAAAATTGTTACATATGATCTTTTGCAGTAACAGTAGTGATATGTGAATCAATTTAAGGATAAAACTCAGAAACTATCTCATTACATTGAATATAAGATGCCCTTGAATTTAAGACGCACTATTTTTTTTTTTTGTTAGTTTAATGGGAAACACAATGAATAAAATAATGATGAAATATTGGAATTTGGGAAAATTGGAAATTGCGAATTTTCTAAGAGCATTAATTTTTAGATAATTAAGGTCTGGAAAAACTCCCGTAGAGCCTAAAAGGCGAGAAAGAGATGGACAAATTAAAAATAAATCAAACAATAAAAAATGGGTATCTATTTGTTATTTATTTCAGAAAGTGATAGTAGATAATTATGTATAAATTTTGTTGTTAAAATGCTTAATATTTGAATATGATTTTGGAAATTGACAAGGTATTTTTAAAATTATTACAATTGCATAAATCATATTTTAGAAAAGATTTAACAATTGAACTTAAAAAAAAACAAATAATAAATTATTAAAAGAGGAATCGCAAAGTTACATGATGAAGCCCATCTCTGATCAATATCACATAATTTTAAGTAGTAATATTAAGTAGACTTGAATATTTTAGTTTATTATTAAAAACTTATAATAATAATTTTTTAAAGCAGTACATAACATATTCATTTACGTATCAAAATTTTAATTAATGAAAAACTATATTGTAGTAGTTTATTATCTTATGTAATACAGTTCATGTCTGATAAGAGAATAGATTACAAATTTAATCAGTCTTCAAAATTTATTTTACACTTGGTAAGAAATATTAGTAAATTCTAACTATGTATGTATCTGTAATAAACACATGAAATAGTAGCAATTCTACTATGGTTTAAAATAAAAACAAACAAAAAAATACATTAGTTCATGTAATTGTAAAGTTTAACTGTAAGAACTTTAAACTTGGTTTAAATACTGATGAAACCTATTCAATATATCACATATTACTAGTAATGTATTACTAAAATATTTCTGCATTGCTATTTTTGTTATTAATAACTCAAAATTAAATCAAATAATAAATGAAAACCATTTAACCTTTTTTTAAAATTATGGAAGATATAACCTTGTATTATTCCTCAAATTGTAACGAGTGCAGAATCTACAAGTTGCAATAATGAATGAATTCATGTGTTCTTCAAAAGGTTAGTGCGTTTATTTTATTACTCCTTTAAAATTAACCAAAATATATATTTAAATATATTGAATGAATCAATTGCTATCTTGTGAATCGGTATCTGAATTTTCAAACTGTACCGCATTTTTAGCAGGTCTGAAAAAAAAAAAGTAAAATAAAATAAAAAAGTTCATAATTTTTTATGGGAATTACATATAATAATGATTAGAGATAAAAAACAAATAACTTAAACAAGATAAGTTTATATTATAATAAAAACATAAATGCATACATTTACACACACATACAATCCCGCATGTTGATTTTGGACATTATATGTTAAACCATGTAGTTCCAATAAAGCAGAGCTCCTTTAAATAAAAACAATGTAATTTCCCCAGTAATGTAATTGGAAATTTTTCATTCAGGAAATTAACATGAATTTGTGGCTGATATATAGTTGATAGCTAAGAATTCTTAAATAAACTTTAAATATAAATTATTATCCCTGTTGAGCAAATCCGATACCTAGGACTCCACCTGGACAAACGACTAACTTGGAATCCTCATACTAGACTGAAACGACAAGAAACCGCTCGACGTTTCCGATTACTTCAGCACTTACTAGACAAACGCTCTAAACTTCCAATTAATTAAAAAGACTCATATACTTGACTGTAATAAGACCTATTTGGACTTACGGAGTTGAGCTATGGGGCTCCACTAATCCATCGAATTCCTCTCACATCTAATCCTTACAATCCAAAATCCTTCGTAAAATCCTCAATGCTCCTTACTTTGTCACTAATAAAATTATCCATAAAGATCTTAATGTTCCTTATGTTTTCAGATCTGGCCCAATCCAGATACTTATCCTTCCATAATAAACTTCAGAATCATGACAACCCTCTCGTTTCTAACCTTGCTTCCTCTTCAATTCCTGACAACCCTCCGAGGCATCTGAAAAGAAGATGGCCCCGTGATATCCTAATGTAGTCATATCATTAGAGTGCTACCAGTGGGTAGTTTCTCAGCAAGTGTATTCATGTCATTATATCTATTATGTCCAAATTTACTTGATGTATTTATGTACTACAGTTTTAAATGTCATTAAGAAATAATAAAAAAAAATATATATAAATGAGTGAATGTATTTTTATATACACAGGATGTCTCAATTCTTAATAGTACTAACTCTGGGAGGTGATTAATGGCAAAATTTCCAACAAAAAAGTTTATTTTATGCATGAGCCGATTCCGAACGAAAAAGGAGTTAAGACCAATTCTGTGTTTTTCTTGAGCTGGTCAGATTTTTTATTGAATAAGAAGGAATTGCTCAAAAACAAAAACAAAAAATTAAATTCTAAATACACCATCGTAAAGTAGGCAATATTTTTTTTGAGAAAACAGTGATTAAATTTACTAAGGTCAATAATTTTTGGTTTTTATTTTTATTGATGATATTTACAACTGTATTACAAATAAAAATACATTCAGTAAATGTGAACAAAAGAATATAATAACATGAAATCACTTGTTGAGAAACTGCCCACTGGTAGCACTCTAAAAATGTATTTACAAAAGGAGATCTCGAGGCCATCTTCTTTTCAGGCGTAAGGTTAGAAACGAGAGGGTTTGGATGGTTTCGAAGTTTGTTATGGAAGGATAGGTATCTGGATCGGACCAGGTCAGAAACATAAGGAACATTAAGGTCGTTATGGATGATTTTATTTGTGACAAAGTAAGGAGCAGTGAGGATTTTAAGAAGGATTTTGGATTGTAAGGATTGGAAACAAGAGGAATTCGATGGCTTAGTGGAGCCCCATAGCTCAACTCCGTAAGTCCAAATAGGTCTTATTGTAGTCATGTAAATGAGTCTTTTGAATTGACTGGGATCTTAGAGCGTTTGTCTAGTAAGTGCTGGAGTATTCGGAAACGTCGAGCGGTTTCTTGTCGTTTCAGTCTAGGAGGATAAGGATTCCAAGTTAGACGTTTGTCTAAGTGGAGTCAAAGATATCGGATTTATTCAACAGGGATAAGTGGGGTATATTAAAGGATACTGTAGGACAGGAAGTCATAGATTTACAACGAAGGGTAAAGGTGATTTGATGGGATTTATTGGAATTTATTTTTATCCTCCAGTTTTGACACCATTCTTCAAGAAGGTCAATAATAAAAGGAACTTTCAAGAGGTCTAATATGGCTGCTGTACAGAGATATGCTGCTCAATTATGGGCACTGTAGCTGCAGCAGTACAGCGGCCGTACTAGACCTTCCGAAAGTCCCTTTTATCATTGATTTTACTAAATTAAAAATTTTTCTATTTTACGATAGTGTACTTAGAATTTAATTATCTTGAACAGTTTTCGAGCGATTCCTTCTTATTCAATAAAAACTGTGACTATCTTAAGAAAAACACACAAAAAGTTGGTCTTAACTTCTTTTCCATTTGGAATCGATCCATGCATCAAATAAACCTTTTTGTTGGAAATTATGTTAAGAATCACTCCTTTGGCCATTAAGAACTGAGACAGCCTGTATAGATATATTAATGTTGAAAGGAAGTCCTAGAATATGACGATGAATAGTAATCTAATGATTATCGCTGCAGTTTATTAGTATTTAACAAAAAAAAAAAAACATTGTCCAGCTGTTCATCAGTTAATTCAGACTAAAAACAAGACAAGATTAGACAAAACACCTTTGAACAAAATTATAAAAATATATTTAGTCATCATAAGCTAACAAAATCAGTTAATCATGAACAAAATAAAGTGTCAAACAGCAAAGTTATGAGTTATGAACGTGGATAAAGGAATGAATGAATAGGAAATATACATTAAAGTTTAACAGTTCCAAATTGAAAACATTTCACTACGAGCTAATTTATATAAGATAATAATTAAGATAAGATAAGATAATAATACACACTTTGATTTGAGTAAATTCACCATAATAAGGCTGTTTAAATTTTGTCTGGCACGACATAAACTTTTCATCTTCACTTGCATGTTATACAGTATTTCATTTTGGATACTTGGTTATCCACAAATGAATATCAAACATTTTTTTATAATTAATTAAATTTCTTATACTGAATAATACTATCATTTCTGCCATTGTTCAAAACTGTGTTGTTCTCTCAAAGCCTTCCAGCAGTTTTTCTTTTACTTTCTCCATTCTCTAGAAACATTTTTTTTTTTCATTTCCCTTTTGAGTCCAAATCATTTCCCTCAAAGTCTACTCCCTGTGGTCAAAGTCTAGTGAATATGGGGAGAAGAGGGTGAACAATCAACATCTCTTAATTCTCAAAATATGAAAACTCGTAAACACGTGCTTTGCCACAATCACATAAGCTGTTTTAAGAATTACAAGAGTTTCCATGGGCGTTTTCCATAAGAAAAAAAACATTTCACAGCTGTACATCAGCAGATCTCAGGTTTTCTCCAAACAGAAAAAGTTATTTTACTAAATACGTTCTCACAGAAAAACGAATGCCATCACAACAACCAAACTTTGCACACTAACTCAGGAGAAGTTCTCTCACAGAACTCTGCCAAAAAACCGGATATTCCCATCACCCTTTTCACAAGAGTCCTGTTCCTGAAACTTTTGGGTCCTCCCTGTCCATTCTATCTTAATCAAGATTGATAATATATGGGAAAGAGCACATTTATATAATATGAACAAAAACTAAATAAATAAATAGAAATAATAACAAAATAAAATAGCAAAAAAAAAACAGCAAATGAACATAAGAATTAAATTAAAATAATCATAATAAAGAATTAAGTAAAATAATCATCTTAAACACAGGAACACTTATGTACACTATTTACAATCGATACAGATTTGTATCCACCAGTGGAGGGAATAATGAGACTTCAGAAGATCCTAGTGTTTTTCTTTTCACCACATTAGTAAAGGTATTAAAAGTCAAATGAGGTTGAGGAAGAACACTATAGCCATATACTCATATATCAACATTTTGTCAAAAGGATTGATGATTAAAAATTATGAACTATTTGAATAAAGAATGGATGATTATAAATTAAATTTTTAATTGTCGATGAACATTATGTCATAACAATAAATCCCAAAAAGTCTTGAATTTTTCTGAAATATTAATTAGTGTTAAAGATAAGTGCAGACATTTTAACAGCATCTTGTTTTGCCAGTGGTATCATGCAATACCTCCAGTCCACACTAATCCTCTGAGACAGTTATATTAAGTTTTTATCTAGATTTAAATCTTATTTTTTATTATTTAAAAAGTGAAATCTCTATCTTATACAAGTTATTTATCATTTTATATTTATAATTCTATTTAAATTCAAATTCATCCGATTATTTTCCTACGCAAGCACCCAATTATTGGTATCGATTCAGCCAGTACAAAATATTATCAGTTACTGAGTCAAAGATTAAAATAGTCCTAAGTTAACTTTGCCTAACCTACTCCAAGTTTTAAAATCCTAAGTTCCTAATTACAGTAATTAATTCTGCGTTTGTTTTATTCTTTTGCTCTAGGATAGATTTTTAGTTCTAGATTAAGTCTAACTCTTGACCTGACAACAGATTCAAAAAAGTCTAAATAGGAAACAAGTTAATAGTGTCCAATGCACCTTCAAGACAAAAAAAAAAAGATCAAGGCACCATTCAATTAAAACATATATAATAATTGATAAAATTGTTTATTATATTTTTCTAATGAAATAAAATCATTTCTAAAAATTAAAACTTAAAAACAATTTTTTTTTAATATATATCTATAACAATTTATCCTTACAACAGACAGGAAGAATATATAAACATCACCTTAGGTAAAAAATGTTTTATTAAATAAAATAAAACGTCTTATTTACATGTTTTTAAATCAATAAGGACAATAATAATAGTTCATAACGATATTTATTAAACTATGGTTATTATAAAATATTATTAATAATTATAAAGCTTCAAAATCGAGCAATCTGTATATATATATATACAAAGTATTTCTGCCCAATTTTATTGATCTCTCACTTTTATTTTTACACTAAACAGTTTATTTTTTAACAATTATAAACTATATAATAACAACGAAATCATTGAAACTGAAAGACATATGCATGACTAGGGCTGACTATATTTTTTTGTTTTTTAATTTAATAAAT